GGCTGAGACAGACCCCAACCAGCCGTGAATACAAATTGCAAAAAATAGCAACAGATTAGATCCTGCCCTACAATTATTTATAGCCTTAGCACATCAGTGAAGATGGGACCAGTGGCAGGAGGAGAGTGCAGCAACCTGTGTGCTGAGAATAGCAATTAAATCTAGGTTCAATTGACATGCGGAAAAAATAACAAGTATGTGACTTTTGCTTTAAAAAGGGTGAAAAATCAGCCTGTCCCCACTAGCTGTTGGACTCAGAGAGTGTGTCTTCACAGCAAAGGCTCTGCAGCAAGCACCGATGGGACATCTCTTCTCTACCCCACAGGCTGTGAAAATCCAGCTTTTGGAGAGAGCTTAAAATCATGGGTACTGTTTCCTACCATGTGCCTGGATCCAGGGCGGACAGCTGAGTTATTGATCCCTATTTTCCTATGGCACAGAACTGAAATAACAGTGCCAGTCTCCTCTGAATTGACAGCAGGGAGGAGGGTGGCAGATCTGGCTTGCTCGCTCACGGGTCTGCTAACATGTCCAGAGACATCAGAGGGATGAAGGGGAGGAGAGAGAAAAAGCAGATTCAAGGCATGGTCTCCTGAGCATTAAACCATCATCTGTAGGATCTGAGCCTAGACAGCTCTGGGGCAAGTTAAAAAATATTGCTGCCCTGTAATAGATCAGTCATAAATACAGACTTTCCTCCGCCTCCCATCGATAGCTCTGCTGGGAAATCCCTGATGCAACCCAGTCCTCGCCGCCGGCTCACCAAGCTGTGGTGCTGCCGAGTGCCAGCTCCTCGTGCCCCACGGCCGCTGCGGCTGGCGGCAGGGAGAGCTGGCAACGGGCAACGGAGGAGAGAAGTGAGAGCAACAACAACAGGCTTTGCATTTGCTGGCACCTCGCGACCTGCCGGAGTGCTGAGAGCTTCTCTCCAGAGAGACAAGCGCGGAGACAGCAATTTATCAGTCTGGCTGCAGTGAAAGGCCAGCAAAACGTCCCTGGGTGATGTTTGCCAGTCCCTGGCTGCGTGTGAATGCCAGGCATGAGCTGAGAGTTGGCTGCAGCAGAGACCAATCTCAGACAGACCAGGGGGGACAGCCGGGACCCACAGGGAGAGAGAGCATCCTTCATCCCTCAGCCACCTTCCTTGGGACGGTCTCACTGTCCCCATGCCAGCTGGAAGGCTGGTCACTGCTCACCATCCCTAGGGGCTGAGCTGAGCCGAGCCGTGAGGGCTTGCTCTGGGCTGCAAAAGTGCCAAGAGCCATGAAAAGCAGCACTTTGAGGGCAGTTTGCTAAGAAACAAGTGGGAGATGGGCACAAGTGCACATTGGAGAGGGGTATCCTGGAAGGGCTCCAAAAAGGAGGCCGTGGCTCAGAAGCCCATGTATTCACGGGTGTCTCTGATTAATGGGGAGGGGATGAAGGGGCTGCACGATGGAGGGGACATGCATGCACAGCATGAGGAGACAGGCAGGCAAGCAGGCAGTGGAGGGGAGGGGACCAGGGAAAAAGCAGCATATGCACTCAAGGCCATGGATGGGGGAGCACAGGGTGTATGCAGAGGGCATTGGAGGGGAGGAAGGGATGGCTCTGCCCTTGTAAAAGAGCAGAGACACCCAAGCAAGAAAATAAGAACCCCTGCAGTGATGTGGTCTCCACCAGAGTTGGCTTCCCAGGCAGAGGCGAGGGAGGTCCCCCTCAGCAGCTGGGGAGACTGCAGACAGCCAGACGGGACGACTGGGGCTGGGAAAACCTCAGTGTGGAAAGAGGAGGGCTACAGTCAATGACAGCAAGAAACTTGGCCATGTCTCTGCTCATAACATAACATAACACTGGCGGGGAGTGGGTGGGCTGCTCCCAGCGCGGGAAGAGACTTGCAGAAGGGAAGGGAGTTGGTCCAGGCTGCAGGATAAGCCTGCTCCTCGCTAGCAGA